TGACCTACGCACCTGCCTTCTACGTCACCGCATGCCAAAATTCTTAACTGTTTGTTGGCCATCGTGACCGCGGCCGACCAAAGGATAAAAATTCAAATCTCTCGAGACAACGACTAGACGACAACTTATGGAAAACGCACAAACTAACAAACAAAATTTTTCTTCCAGTCCGCCATTTTAAGTATCCCACGATGCCTTGCGCTAGCACTTTCTTGCAAGGTTTCAGGTTTCTGCTGCTTTGATAAAATGTGACTCCGAGCTGGGATTTACCGATGATGTATGTGAAAAGGAGTTAATTAAATCGTCATTTTGGTGGATTTTGTGATAAAATTTAGCATCGACAGCAGAAAACAGTGAGGTGAAACCCCCTGCACTCTCCTGTAGGAAACCCCTCCTGGGCAGACCGTGACGTCACTACGCCGCCATTTTGGAGCCGGGAGAGGATCGTTTGGCTCTGTTTTGATTTGCACAGGCCACGGTTTTTATCATTTTCCGGGGCTGAACTACACCAGGATGGCCACAGATACAGTCCGTCCTCACGCCATGGAGTCAGGAGAGACTAAAGAGGTACATAAGATACAACTGAAAGCCGTTTTGACGTGCAAAAAAATGAGCGCCAAACTGTTCAGTCTCTGAAGTGCAGTTTAGCTGAGTTCAGCGAGTGTCTTCATCAGAATTTTGTTGCTTGCAAGACAGGTGCTACACTACACATCAGTATGTTTATACATGGTGCCAGCTTGAGGAACCGACTGTATAGGTATTCTGCCAACGATTGGCACGATAGATAGAAGCTATAAACTTGTGCCTGTGTGATCTTGGGTATGCTTCTGTTTATCACGCACAAAAATAATTTGTCATAATAATTCCCGCGTTTAGATAGCCTGGGTACCATCCCAAGTAGTATATTCGCAAACTCTATAACTGGTTATAGAGTTTGCGAATATACTACTGGGGATGGTACCCAGGCTAGCGTTTAGATTGTTGTCACAAGATTTAAAGCGGTGATTGTATGAGGAAATAGAACGGTTGACTTCTGTTTCCTTTTCCCCAGTGAGCTCAGAGTCCTGACGATTGTTCATAATTTTTCTATCAGAATAATTTGAAAAATCTGGAGTTGATGACATCTTGCAGTCAAAATAGAAATGTACGCACTGTTTATTTTGCCAGCAGGGTTTCTCACCATGGCTAGCTTGCATAGATGTGACATAATGGTTATGTCTTAATTCATGATGAATTTCTCAAAAATATTTGCTCTAAGGATGCATTTTTATACAGCTGTGCTTTTCACTATTCAGTTAACTCCGGAACAAGCAGAAGAGGCAAAACTCAAGGCTAAGTATCCTGCCCTTGGACACCAACAGAGGCCTGGTGGCTCAGACTTCCTTCGCAAGAGGCTACAAAAAGGGGTACTGTTGATTTGAGTTGTACTGTCATGTAGCCTGTGTTACACAATCTCTTGCTGTCAGGGGCTGATTGGTCCTCCTCTTCTACTAGAGGCCTGACCAATGGAAGGGCAGCTAGAATGGTGATGTTTGTCAGCCTAATACTGTCATGTAAATATTCAGTACAAACAGCTACATGTGTTGTTTGAGAGCATATCATAATGTTGGCAAGGCTTAGCCGTGGACGACTCTGGTACCCTTTTTGCATGATAATGCCGGGACAGAGTCGTGGTGCAATGCATAGGCCAAAACCGACCTTTGCCGTGCCGGGCCTCATGCAACAGGCCGGCCCCGGTTTTTTGGTGTCGCTGGCTTCCTAACGCACTCACCTGCCGGGCCGGGGGGATAAGACCCTAAACAAACGCAGCATTTAACCACAACACGGCCTCGGAGCACGTAACTCCATACAAACCATCGGCGATCGGCGCCATTTTGAATTCAGGAATAGGCCCGCAAAACAGGTCGGACCCTGAGTTTACGACAGATTACGTCGTTATTTTCAACTCTCCAACGTTCAAGCTGCAAGTATCATGACGTAATCTGTCGTAAACTCAGGGTCCGACCTGTTTTGCGGGCCTATTCCTGAATTCAAAATGGCGCCGATCGCCGATGGTTTGTATGGAGTTACGTGCTCCGAGGCCGTGTTGTGGTTAAATGCTGCGTTTGTTTAGGGTCTTATCCCCCCGGCCCGGCAGGTGAGTGCGTTAGGAAGCCAGCGACACCAAAAAACCGGGGCCGGCCTGTTGCATGAGGCCCGGCACGGCAAAGGTTGGTTTTGGCCTATGCATTGCACCACGACTCTGTCCCGGCATTATCATGCAAAAAGGGTACCAGAGTCGTCCACGGCTAGGTGCCAGACTGTTGCCAGAAACACAAACCGATAGCTCCTCAGCTCAGGGCCAACATGTACCTAGCCTGGGTGCCAGACGCACAGCACACTACTAGTAGGTAGCTAGGCTCAAAATTTACCAGTCTGGATTTGAGCCTTGTGCTGTGGGTCTGGCACATGTACTCAAGACAATTTTACCATAGATCCCCTCAGTCAGGGTATAAAATGGAACTGGCCTGTGTATTGTCCCTGAAAACATCCAGGCTTCATAAAATCATAACTGCCTTCTGTGCATGATTAATGATTAGGTGGTGCCAAGTCGTCAGGTCTGGGCATGCCTGACGCCTCATCCAAGGCTCTGTTCAACAAGCTGATCATGCGAGCCAAGCAGGAGCAGGAGAAGGGAAACCTTCAGAA